ATAAAATAAAGGACAAATGTATAAGAACAGAAACAGAAAAGCCAATGTATAGTATTAGATGTTGCAAGGAAGGCAAGGTTATGAAAATTATGCTGGAAGCCCTTTAACCATAGGAGGTTGGGAAAATAGGTTTCTGCTACTCAGCAGAAGGGGAGCTACAGACAATGAAAACAAAAAAGTTTCATGCTTATTGCCTCCTTTTGCTTCCATCTGTTAGGATCACATTCATGGCTGTAAAAGCTGAGGTGCCATGAGAAATGGAAACAATTTTGTTTCCCTACAGATGAGGGGCTTAAACTCAAGCAAGAGACTTCCAGCTTGGATTTTAGAGAATGCAAAGGAAGGTATTAAATCAGCCATGTTGCAGATTTGCAAAAATATTAGACAATGACCCTCAGGTTAAGGCATAGCTTATTCTTTACCTAGGAAGGTTCATTAAAAGCATGTTTCTTAAAATGTTTAATTCCAAGTGGAAACAGATGAACTAACATTTGTAGACAAATTTCTCAAACTCTACTGTTATTCAGTTTACAATCCATATATAACTTTAGTCTAAGGCAGGTCAAACAACATGTTTGACTGTCAACATGCTTAACTATCACGAATTTTGCAAAGATCTGGATTGCAGTTTAAATATAAAACTTAAAGAAACTTTTAAGATATTTATTCACAGAGTTCCATATTTAGTCATCCATAAATCTATCTGATTTTTAGCTTTCAAAATCAAACAAAGTCTGGAAGTAAATAAATACAGAGAAGGCACTGAAGTCTGCAATAAACACAGAGATTCAAAATAATACAGGAGGGAGATTTTTGTCAGGAAAGCACTGCTTCTGTGCTTGCATACACATCTCTGCTTTTGAGTATGTATATGTGCGTATGCAAAAAATGTCCAGATGGGCAAAATAACAAGCTATTGAATTAAATTATGCTTTATATAAATTATGTAGTAAAGAATTTAAAATAAAAAAATTCATCCATATTGAGGTCTCTACATTTCCCATCTAAGACTCAACATTATCAGAAATGCTTATGGCTAAAAGGTCTAACATTACTGAGTGAGATGTCAGCGGCAAAGTTTGAATAGAATTTGAGTATTAATACAAGGTTAGTTACACTAAACTGAAAGATGAGGAGCTATATAGCTCTAGTTGTAACTGTGCTGGTCTATCTCAGTTGTCATAGCCAGTTTCCTTACAAGGACTGGGAAATATAAGTTAGCTCTCTCTGAGAAAGGACCTGAGCTGTTAAAAGGACAAGGTACTACTCTTCTGACATTTATTTACTAAATTGTTACCTGTACTAGAAGGGAACAAGTTAAGCAACCAACAAAATGGGGCTGGTTTTGAAGTGGAGCAAGACCATCATTTCCCCATCAGTGGGAAAACTGAGAAATAAAAAGTACTAAAGGATGTGTCGTCAAGAGGGGCAAAGGAAGACAGACTAACAACTAGCCAAGATGGAACATGTCCAAAACAGAGGTCCAGCAAACTCAAGTGGTCACAGACACTAAGTGCCACTCCATGCTCACAGGAGCCCCACCCAAAGCAAATCTTTGTCAGGGCCAAATGACAGTCAGAGTTTCCTGTAGCAGTTGATGTCTCTCAGTCACCAACTAACCCTGGTTCAGACCCAGCTGCCTCATTCATGAGATCCAGTGAGGTTGGAAGGTTATTGCTGCAAGTCATTTTGAAGTGCTTATCAGGAAAATGCAAAACGACTGAATGCCTGTAGCTTGAGGGGAGTGGGGCTATTAATAGAGCCTCTGCCAACTGATAACAGAGATATGAAGAATCTTAAATGAGTAGACAGTAGAAAGAAAACATTTCTAAGAATGAGGGAGGGAATTCACTGCAATGACTTACACTGAATCCTAGGAATATCTGTCTCAACAGCCAGGTCTAAATTTTGGAAAGGAAACAGGCCTTTGCTTAAATCACTTAAGTAAGATGAACTGGTCATATGCTTCAAGGTGCTAACCTCTAATGGTCACTAAAATGGGAATAAATGACTGATGGCTGCTCCCCATGCGCTAATACCCAATTCTCTGCAAAACCATTTTGACACTTGAGGTCGATATGGTGAGGTTAGTCTCTCCAGTTGGCTGTTGATCTTCATAAACACCTTTGTGCTGCACACTGACTATGGCAGAGTAGCTACTAAAAGGACACCTAGTGGTAAGTAAATGAGTGTGCCCAGAAACCACTGGCATTGCTGAAGGTGTGCCATTGTAATTGGCATGGGAATTGCTGACCTGTTATGGGTTGAATACACAATGTGACGTATGAACTTAATGTGTCAAGTAGCACTACTCATTTATTTTTTAAAATGACAAGCAATATTCTTAAAAGCATGTTTTAAAAACCTGAAATTTAAGCTTAATTTCCTCAAAACTTGGAGAATAATTTTTTTAAACAAAAGATGCACAGTACAGTCTGTCACACACTACAAAACTGATTGTACTGAATCTCAACTGCATCCACTTTAAGGATATTAGATAGCTGAACAGGATTCATTACAGACATGTTTTGCTTGATATTCAAGCCAAATTTCATCTTGGGCATTTCTTGCTTCCTCCACTGTGCCACTCTAAAATATCTTGAGCAATTCCTTTCCTTCTTGTCTTTTCCTCCTATGAAGACAAACAGCTGGAGAATATAAATTGAGCTAACTTTAGTTTTTTAGGGGTTGTTTGTTTGTTTGTTTGTTTGTTGATTGTTTTTTTGCCCATGCAACTTTATAGTCACTTCTTGCCTGTGGTTATTCCCAACCCTTTAATATGTACTAATGCCCTTGTGACCAAGAGATGCCCACAACAGAAAGCTCTGTTCCAGATGGAGTCATGCTGGTCTCATGCAGAGAGGGATTATAACTTTCCTGTGTAGTGACATGCTGCCTCTGGGCAAACAGACCAAAATCCACACTTAGCATTCTTTTTTATGTCAACATACCATATTACAGGCATGGAACAACTTGTTGACCACTGTCCCTCTTCGGTTATTGTATTTATGTTCTTTGTTCCAGGTTTGTCTTTTCTATTGAACACCAGTTTCTTTGGATTAATTTTCCCTGAGTGAATTAGTACAGATTTACTAAGCCATTTTTCCAGATACCTTTTTTTATCTAATTTGCTAACATCTCTGTATGCCCCGGTCTGTTCTCTGTCCTCAGAATGTCTGTAAGCTCCCAATTTAGTGTCATCTTTTGATTTAAAAAGCCACAAACAATCCATTTCTCCTCTTCTATCCTCTTTCATTACAACACAATTTGAAATGCGATGAATATGTTTGTTTGCTTTTTTTAGGTGACTTGCTACCAAAGCTTTTGCTTAAAAACAACAAGAAAAAAAAAAAAAAAAAAAAAAGATTCTGCCCTTTTTTTTTCCATAATTACAAGAAAGTAGATCGTGATGTTCATGAGGGATGCGGCAGATTATGCCCTTACCAAACTTCTGGAACCATTCCTCACACAGTTCAGTTTCCACAGCTCACCTCTCCTCCATTCCACCCTTCTGTAGCTGCTCTCTTGTCTTAGTTTCCTGCCTTTACTATAAACAATGCTTTCTGTAACCTTAGTTTCATGATCTAAACATTTAAAAATAAGAATGAAGGGAACACAAACTATGTGTTCAATTAGGTAATTTGGGGATTAAATTAAATGAAATCTCTTAAGACATGGAACACAGAACATTTCAACATAATGCAGCCTGGCTTTACTTGTTTTCCTTTTATCTCTTTATCCCTTTAAGAAAAGGAGACAATGGATCTTAGAAACTCTGGCAGAAGAGTAGTAAAAGCACCTGAAGAGATATTATTGCTTGTGAATGCAAGACAAACGAAAGTCAGGCCTAGAGGAAGAGGCCATAGCACTCAGGTATGTGTTTAAAGGGAAAGAGAGGCACTCTGTAAACTGCAGGATGCTGGAGGCTGGGCAACTACCTGTCACAGCTGACACAGGAGGCTCCTGCTATTAGTGATATCACCCTTTGTAATCTCATGTCAGCCTCATAAAATGCCCTTCAGACTGCCAAAGTCTCTTCAATCTGGCATTTCTTTTGTACTAAAATGCATTTTAAAAGCAAGAAGGCAACAAACAGATGTTATTCTTCGGTTAAAGGCAAAAAAAATTTTAAAATACATATATATGTACACACTGTACATGATAAGCAGTAACAGGAAGAAGTAATAAAGAGTAATAAAGGAAAAATAATGTCCGTAAAAATACTTCTGCTTATCTTTGCAGTGCACCTATAAGTTTTGGTCAACTATACTCCATCATACACAGGACTTCTTTCCTTTTTTTTTGAAAACAACTCTAGAATGAATTTCCATTATTAAATCACTAATCTGTATTTTGCTCTTGTGAACTCCTCAGCAACAGAAGAAACTCAAAATGTCTTCAAATTTGTAAGAATTCTTTTTATGTGCATCTGCAAATGCACATTTGGCTTTCACTTTGCATTGTGCCAGACAATTATACAAATGAAGCATAGCCTAGTACAGCTTTATTCAGCACTTTAAACTTTGAATCTCTCTTGTCCTGAAAGACAGTGAACATGTTGGCTTTTCAAGTGAACCCATTTCCTCCTGGCATACAGCAAACATAGGTAATACAGGTTGACTTTCACATTGTACTTAAAGAGGTGTTTTGAACTTTCATAATACCAGCATCAAATAGAGAATTCAAACTATAACAGGTATTACATTTGCCCTGAACTTCTTTCCCAGTTTAGTGATTCTTTCCTAGTTGTGTTTTCCCATTTTCTAAAGCCTGCTGATGAAAGATGGACATTATCCCACTATTTGGTGAGAAACACACAAACTACATAAGAGGAAATGAATGAAATTACCAATGCAATATACCATGCACAAATAAGTTCAGTAATATATTTTCCCCCTGCCTTTAGCAATATAATACCATTTGTTACTTTTACTAGTACAAAGCAGCAATAAATAAGAGGAATACTTTTAATGGCATGCTGAGATCTTAATAAAACCTACCTTGAAAGAAACTTTTGACTCGGAGATAGCTGACGCTAAGGCGCAAGACAGAAAGTTTGTCCAGCTTTGATACGATGTCAGGTGGAAAAGGAAGGAGGCTGGCCAGGTGGTCCAGTTCCGCGTTCAGACGGTCTCTGTGTCTCTTCGAAGGATTTGATTTTTCATTCCCAACTGCAGGCCTTCTGTGGTGGAGAGCACATCTTCAATTACCTGTTTTACTTCCAGAGACTGAGATGCTTTATGCAATTAATTGCTAACAGGAATACTTTGTTTAGCTTCTATGAAAATCTTTAAAGTCTCTGTCCTACGACAAAAAGAGCTTTACCGTTCTACATTTGCCATGGTGCAAAGACACAGACTTTGTCTTCTCTTTTCACATCAGGCAAAAAGTGAAGAACTGGTATCTTTTACTCAGGACCTCTCACCTTAGGGAGATAGATGCTATCTTCATGTTCTAGTCAATATCAGGAAAAACCATTTCTCATCTTTGTTGTACAAATGAGGGGCAGAACAGCAGGGGAAAATTACTGTGACTAATGCATGAACCCATTCAATACCCACTGTATTCATTCAAAGCATCTTAGTTCCCTCCGTTTAATGACCTGTGGGTCAGGAGATAATTAAGAAAAGTCTGTCTTTAGACATGAGTTTAAAAAGTATGGAAGGCAAGGTGAAGAGAGATTCTTTCCTTAAGCTCAAAACTCCTGTATACATTCTCACTTCTACCTCAGTAAAAACAAAGGTAAGAATTTAGTTTCTTGAGAAGATTGATATTCGTCACAAAACATAGAGATTAAAGTTATTCAGCTTTCTAGGCCAAGCAAGTCCATCCCCATTTTGCGTTCCTCTTATGAAATGGACAATACTAGAGAACCTAGAATAGCTATTGTGAAAATTCATTAAGATGAAATACATCACAAGTGAGGAACCTCAGTTTTGGAATGTCCACTGATATTCCCAGAGAACGTGTAACATGTTCTCAAGAGGGAATAAAGGAAAATGCTGGATCTTTTGCACACAGAAATGGGGACCTTATTTCCAGACTGTGGGGGGTGCTCAGTGCTGAAGCACAGACTTGTCCATTAAGCAAGAAGACCTGAGTGGGAGGTTGAGAAAGGTTGTTCCCTTCAGTAGCCAGCTATTGCTGGACCCAGCAGTAGACAAGGGCATTATCCAGGCATGACCTATGGAACACTGGCGCCATAAACTACATGGATACTCAAGAATGGGAAACAGCAAGTAAGACGACTATAGTTGTGCTAACAGTTTCTACTTTCACCTCACTGAATCCAAGGATTCAGGAGCTAGCTGACAGTGGACAATGAGAGTAAAAACTAATTATTTGTCACACTTTACTACTGTGTTTTCATGCTACACAGATTTACTGCATTTTTCAATTATAAGGTAGTTAAGGTGTTAAATTACATCAGTATTAATTTGTCATTGCAGTTGTAATTATAAAATAATTGCGCTTAGGAATTAGCAAAAAAAAAGATCAGTTTTTTGAAGAGCAGTTTTGTCCGTGTGACTGCTGCTAACTGAAAACCTTTTAAAACAAATCAAGTTTGAAAAATTCATTGCTACTTTTGAGAACCTCACTTCAAGAGAACAGCATCAGTGGACAGAATGGATGGGGAAAAAATGAGTTAGAAATAATAGGGTTTTTTTTTTTAAATTTTACTGAAAATACATGATTTCTCCTATTTTAATAAAAATTGCCAATACTTGTATATGGTTCTTCAATAACACAAGTTGCTTCCAAACACATGGAGAAGATTTTGCTGATTGGGATAAATGAACTACTTTCCTATATTAGGGAGTGGAAATATGAGAACAAATAATGCAATCAACAAAGAAGGACTAGTGTTTCTTACTTTTTCTGAATTAACTATTTTTTGTAGTAAACCTTGGGGCTCAGCCAGCCTATGACACCAAAAGGATGTCTGATCTATGGAGGGCAGTAATTTTGTGGGAACATAGCCTATAGCTGAGCAGAAGCTAAAGAATATAAACTTTGCTAATCAGTCTTTACATCTGACAAACCAGCTGAAGCAAGGAAGCAATGTAAGACAGAATAAATTAATTCCAATATGGAAAATTAAGCTGATGAGTTCAAGAGGTAAGAATTGTCAAGAGTAACATGAAATAGAAATAGAAGTTGTTGAAGCCTATTTACCACAAAAAGTAGTGACTCGTTTATGCCAGAGAAAAATGGTCTGAAGCAATTAGGTGGTCTGCCTTTGTACTGAGTACGAGGAATAATTTTCAGAAGATGGCAAGGAATACAGGAGAAAATTCGGGACAGAGTCTTCCTGAAAATTCAAGGAAATGATTCAGTAAGGGAGTGAATACAAACAAACAGGAGTTAGATGTAAAGGGTAGTAGTGCCAAGTGGATGTGATTTTAAACAATGTGAGTTCCATGGAAAGGCTCAGTTAGCTAGCCATAAACAGAAAGGCACAGGCAGGGAAAATCTCCAGTGGGCTGCTTTGAGGCAAATGGAAATTCTAGCCTTTATTTTGAGCTGACAGAGATGGTGCTTGTTGTGTTTGGGTTAATCTCAGGATTGTCAAACTGTAAACAGAGACATAGGAGTCACTCGATGATCCCTCATTTACTCTGCTTTCCATACAACACGGCTGTAGTAAAGGAGAACATGTAATTCAAGGAATAAATCTGGCTTTTCCTTCTTCACATTGTCAAAACTGCCCAGTAGTAACAAGTACTTGTACCTGCGCAAGACCCACATTAGCAGTCCCTGTGTGGTGGGATCTGTGTGGGAGAAGGTGGGGAGAACATTTTCTGTTCTGGTGGTACACAAGGTGTTGAGCCATTTTTACATTAGTGATTCAGTGTGCCCATGACACACAGACCACCACTAGTGCAAACCAGTTTGGTGAGCTCACAGAGGAATTTCCTGCAACTACAGCTCTGTCTGCTATTCCCTACCCTCTGCAGAGCCCTACCATGTTAAGGAAAACTTTGCCCTGAATAAGTTTTATAAGTATGCCACAGTGTTAAACCAGCAGAAGACCTGAGCTGAGAAAGGTCTAATCATTTACCACGACAGCAAGTGTTCAGTAAGAAGGGGAAGGGAAGAGAGACCATGAGATGAGACAGATAGGCTGAGAGCAAAGTAACAACAGATGATTATCATTAGTGTACTGACCAGCAACCTCAGTCACTGACCTATGCTTGGACATTGCATAGGAATTTTGGCAGAGCTGGGCTCCAGTGGCAGCCATGTGAGTGTGGATGTTCATCATCTCCTATGGACCAAAAGGACAGAACGAGAGAAAGCTGCTTGAAGAAAAGGCAGCCCTTTGCCTCCTTCTATGTCTCTTCTGCATCTTGACAGCAAGGAAAGGTGAAAGCAGAACTAATGGTCAAGAAGACATAAGAAGACCAGCAGAGCAGAACAGATGAGAGGTGGGATAGTGTGGTACCAAGTAAGAGGAAGGGCTATGCCACAGAGGGCCTTAAAATTAGAACTAGGAAGCAGGAGAGAGCTGCACCTCCCAAGGTCTCTGTTTACCCTGGCACTGGCACAGTTCTGGCTGAAGCGGTGATTCTGGTGCAGTTATAGGTACACTCAGAGCTAGGGCAGGTATAGTTGCCTTTAAAGAGCTGTAAAACATTACAAGAAATGTTTTGTAGAGGGTGAGGTTTTTACAAGATGCCAGGGTTTGAGATGAAGTAGTGGCTGAAGTTCTCAAATGGTAACTGTCCTGAAACATTGCCATAGCACTTTTAAGTATTAATTTCAACACAGCGATTTTAGCTTGAGGTTAAAGACAAGATCTCTTTAATTGCCAGATGCTTGAATTACCAGTAAAATGTTAGATTTCCACAGGAAATAAACACTTGGTAGAAAATGTTTCCTTTAGTCAAAATCCTGGCTGCCTGGCTGAAAAGCATATCTGATGGAAAATTTTCAATCTGTCTGAGCTCCAGGTGTTTGACCCGCATCCATAATCACCAGAATTTTTTAGTGTAGAACATGTTTAATGGGGCTTGTGTGGAAGATTTTGGGCACAAGAAAGGAAACCAGCTGTTTTTAAATTTTTCTTGCACGTATAAAAAGAGAACCTGAACCTTATATGTTATCTGAAGAATGGCAAACAAATGAAGATAGTCTCTGATAGTTCTGTATAGAAAGCAAGACTGAAACGTATCAGCTCCTCCCAGTAAAATTTTCCACACATTCATCCCCAGTCTTGTGGGTCTCTGTATTCTCCCGGGGAGCTTTTTTTATACATTTTTATCACTGTTCTGTAAAACCATCTCAGAATAAAATTCCTGCACCTGAAAAACATTAATGAACATAATGAACAATATAATTATGTGATATTCTATTAGAAGCCAGCTGCAGGATCACCACCTGGTTGACAGTCTGATCATGAAAAGATTATGTAGAGTCAGAGAGTTAGCTTCTTGGGATGCACTGAGTATGAGGAGATATAAATGTCCCAGTTGTTCTGCAGAGGGGAAAGCTGCACTTCTGTCCTTTTAATTCTGACCTTCAAAAGCACTAATCCATGAATTCCTATTGAAGTCAAGTATCCTGCTCACACTGAGGCACCCGAGTTCACTTATCCTTTTGTTAAAAGAAAGGTAAATTCTGTAGACTACATTAAAAAGAGAGGACTGACCAAAGAATACCCATCAACTTTATTTTCTGTGGAAAATCAGGTTTTACAACTGAACAAATACTCCTCCCAGAACAGATGCCAGTTTCTACCTTGATTCATTGGCAGAATGATAAGGGGGAAAGTGCAACAAGGCTGTAGAGGAAAAAGTGCTGTGCTGTCATACAGGAGAAAAAAGCTGTAACAAAGATGCTACAACATGAATTAAAATAATAGTTAAATACGCTGCTCAATAAATAGGCTTTGTCTACCCTTCTAAATTCAAGATAAATTAATCAAGGCAGCATGACAGTAATCTTAGAGTCCTAAAACGTCGGTAAGACCAGTAGGACTGAAAGACACAGACCAGGAAAGGAGCTCTGTCAGCCAGTCAGTCTGGGGTAGTCAGAGCCTATTTAGAGGAAAGTCCCCGAGTGAGGGAATAAGCACAGGAAAGGCTTACCAGAGACCAAGCCCGCAAACAGATAAGGTTTGAGGAAGAGACCAGTGTTGCTAGGAACTGAGAAATCATCCTCAGCAAGTGGTAAGTAACTAACCACAGAAAATGGAGTGCTCTCTCCAGTGTGGGACTTCAGTATTCTAACAATCCAAACATTCCCCTTGTTTTAACCCATGTTTCTTAATCAAAATTGTTCATGCCCTGGCTTGATATGTTCATGTTCAAGTACCTGCACTGCCACATCATAGAAGAGC